GTGCACCTGCACTAAGTTCCCCTGGCTGCATGTTTGGTTGCAGCATCAATATGCCCACAGGCAGCTATTTCTTCTGTAACTTAATTTATCTTGGATTCTAATTTCATTTGCAGCATTATTAGTTTTCATTTCTTTGATGTATTTTTCATCCTTGTTTGCCAATACCCTCTTTTAATTACCTATTTTGGTTTTATATATATATGACTAGCAGACAAGGYGGTAAAGCAACTGCAAGCTTTGCTGCCTCTGTGAAGTGAACTACTGATGCATAGTGACCAAACATTGACAGACTTTGTCAGAAGAGACATGATTGTACAGAAATCATGATGCCCATGTTATTTATGTAGTAATTCTCTGATTGAGAGCTAGCACTGTTTGTATTTTATATAGGTACTACTAATAATATATTATACTAACTGGAGTTTGAATTCTCCTCTTAGAGGACTGGTATTATTTAACTAAACTGTGGTAACTAAAATTCACACATACTAGAACCTTTCAAAGAAAGGCATTATCTGTATATTTTTTTTTTTAAAGAGAGAGAGAGAGGGGAGAGAGAGAGAGAGAATTTTTAATATTTATTTTCTAGTTCTCGGCGGACACAACATCTTTGTTGGTATGTGGTGCTGAGGATCTAACCCAGGCCGCAGGCGCTACCGCTTGAGCCACATCCCCAGCCCTATCTGTATATTTTTTATACTTGTAATAAAAGTGAAAATGAATTAAATTTTAACTGTTATATCCTTAAATATTTAAAAATTTCTGGCCTAATTAACATTATAATTATAATAATCAATGAAACAATTGAGGGCTGGGGATGTGGCTCAAGAGGTAGCGCGCTCGCCTGGCATGCGTGCGGCCCGGGTTCGATCCTCAGCACCACATACCAACAAAGATGTTGTGTCCGCCAAGAACTAAAAAATAAATATTAAAAATTCAAAAAAAAAAAAATGAAACAATTGATATAAATTAAATTAAAAAGTCAGAAACCTAATTAACATTATAATTATTATTGGTAAAAACAATTGCTTTAAATTAAACAAAATAAAAATTTATCAAAAGTTATTTCATTTGGATGAATGGGACTATTTTCTTTTCATTTAGAGCATATATCCTCCCCCAACCCTAGAGCATGTATCCTTGATTGGAATGAGATAGCATTCAAGATCAATGATATTCCTGTTTATTTTTCTATAGATGTAAACCCTGAGAAAAATGTGTTCACTTAGATGAATAGAAAGGAATGGCAAAGATTTTATTATAGCAATGCCTTTCATTAATTCTTGCCAAGGTTTTTGTAAAAATCCTCTTTCACTTTGTTGAAAACAAGGATTTAGAAACTTAGGACTTGAAAAAGTATTTGTCACTAGAATTCTCACACTTTCTTATTTTATAGGAAGAATACCAAAAAAGGCTGTGCCAAGAAATTTCAGCTCCAGGATAGTCAAATATACTTGTGTTTATTGTGTTATGTTAACTTTGAGAGCAATGTTCACTATGCACACTAAAATAATTTGAGTGGCAGGAGCTGATATTAAACAGTTCATAATTTACACAGCTATATGTGGTAGATTATAAATTAACCTATACATTGTTTACCAGTAGCAATCTGCTTAATCTAGTATGCAAATGAAGTATAAAAATTTTTCTGTCTGCACACATTGATAATGGCATCACAATCAGCATATCAAACATTTAATGGCATGGCTATACCTAGTGGAAAGATAAGCTAATAAGGCAAAAATAACATATAAAATCATTATTTTTAGAAACCTTTCAAAAGGTGAAGTGTGCTGTCAACAAGACATCAGCTCCATGTCAAGCTCAATATCTGCCAAGAGTCATTTATGCCCCATTTCTAACTTACTTCTTTAAGGCTTGGGATTGCAGATAGCACATCTGTCTTCTTGAATAGTATCATTTATTTAACTTATGATGCTGACCATATGTTTCTGAATGCCTCAAATTTATCAGCCTTTGCACTTTTTTTCTTTTTCATATGAGGGATTGAACCCAAGGGCCTGAGCAACATTAACAACTTTTTTTTTTTTTTTAAGACAGGGTTTCACTAGGCTGCATAGGGCCTTGCTAAGTTTCTAAGGTTGACTTTGTACATAGACAAAATACCTTTAATTTTATTTATTTATTTTTATGTGGTACTGAGGATTGAACCCAGTGCCTCACAGGTGCCAGGAGAGTGCTGTACCATTGAGCCACAACCCCAGACCCTGCAATGTTTTTTTTTTTGTTTTTGTTTTGATAAAGCACATGGTAAAGAGGAACTATTCCTGGCAATATCCCCCAGGATCTACTCTTCTCTTGATAAAGTGAAGAAGACTTCACTATATGTTCACTATATGTTTTTTAAAAAATAGATTTTTTTAGCTATAGATGGACACAATACCTTTGTTTTATTTGTTTATTTTTATGTGGTGCTGAGGGTCAAACCCAATGCTTCATATATGCCAAGCAAGTGTTCCACCACTGAGCCACAACCCCAGCCCTCTGAAATGTATTTTTAAACAATAATTAACAACTAGGAGATACCAGGCGATGGAAGCAAAAGTTTTAACTGGTTCATGCAGCAATCTGAAATAGCTGCACAAATGACAATGTAGTGAGTGAATCATTGATTACAAACAGTTACGATTCTAGAAGCACCTACTGTAAATTAGGTAAAGCTTATAATATTTTCTGTGCATCAAATTTGGTAACTATAATCACAGCCACCTCTGCACTTCGGTGACAAAAATGGAAGGAATGTCCCATCTTTAATCAGTCACATTATTGTCCTTGAATGACAATACTGACAATACTATTACTGTAAATTGTGAAGGACAGGGGCTGGAGATGTGGCTCAAGCGGTAGCTCGCTCGCCTGGCATGCGTGCAGCCCAGGTTCGATCCTCAGCACCACATACAAACAAAGATGTTGTGTCCTCCGAAAAAACTAAAAAAATAAATAAATAAATAAAATTCTCTCTCTCTCTCTCTCTTTAAAAAAAAAATTGTGAAGGACAAATTATAATTACAACTAACTACAGAGTTCATAATTTTTTGAAGAAATGTTAAAAAGGTACTAACTCCCCAAATGATGTTGTGATGAAGAATTAAGCATAAATATTCCTTCATTATAAGAGCTAATATGTATATACCATGTCCTCAGTATGTTTACATTTGCAATTTTATTTGAACTTTAAAAAAATAGTTGTAGGTGGACACAATACCTTTATTTTATTTATTCATTTTTTTAATGCGGTGTTGAGGATTGAACCCAGTGTCTCATATATGTTAGGCAAGGGCTCTACCACTAAGCTACAACCCCAGCCCCTTTATTTTAACTTTTCAATAAACTTATGTTAGGCTGAGGATGCATTGATATTATGTTTTACAGGTCAGAAAACAAGATCAGTGAAGTTTAGTAACTTGCTCCAGGCTGTATGTTAGGTAAAATGTCAGAGATGAACCTTAGTCCTGAATCTAAATTTCATGTACTTTCCTTTTGTAGTACTTACCTGTTGAGTAGATGTTGCAATCTTGAATCTTTCAGCTTTCTTTCATTTTGGGTCCAATACACATTCTCCTAATTGCACAAGAATTACGTGCTGTTCTTGATTAGGTGCATATTCCTAAGTCTCCACCACAGAGAAATCAGGGTTAGTTTCTGTGGTTTTGCATAATCAGCATTCCATATAATTCATTTAAGATGGTCTAACCCAAAGTCAGTGGTGGGTGGTGCCCCTAGTCCCAGCTACTGAGAATTGAGGTTGAAGGATTAGAGGATCACTTGAGTCCAGGAGATTGAGTCTAACCTGGGCAACAAAAATCTTTTTTTTTTTTTAATGATGGTCTCGTACATGGAATTAAACTAAAATACCCAAAGGAGAACAAACAGATGCTATTTATTCAGAGCTTTGCTATAGCAAGAGATTTGTTCATCATCACTTGCCTTTGGCAGAGGCTCAAAGACAAACAGGTAAGTGAGAAGCTTGATGAAAGTGGTGGTGGGGGAGAAGCCCCAGGTATCCTCTGATTGTAGGTGTTTGGCATGGAAAATGGGGCAGGCTACAAGAATCAGGGGATATTTTGTATGATTGCTTTGGAGAACACAAGTTAGCTTCCTCTGGTTGGTCCTGAGGCCAAAGTAAGGGTGAAAATAGAGAAGCTGGCAGTAGTTGACCTATGCTTGACTGTTGTCCAATTGCAGAGGAGAGGTTCTGGTTTGGTTTTCTGAGCTTCATAGGTGGTTCAGAGTTCAGTTATGTAATGTCGGGCCATTTATTCATAAATTCTGTCTTGGGCCATACTTAGAAACACACTGGTCCTCTAGTGGTGTGGTTCCATACCCTGAAGGTGGCTGGACTGTAAGTTCCACGGGAGCCGTGGACCACCACTTCAAAGCTCTATTACCAGTTCCCAGCCCTATCAGGTAGGTGCTGAAAGGCACTTAATAAAATCTTGCTAATGAGCGAATTAATGATAAATGAAAATATTTCGTATTGGTTTTTGTTGGAACAGAAAACGAACTTTTCTGGTGCAGCACACGGACATCCTTATGTGAACAGTCTGGCTGTCACAAGAAAGTCTGCCGGTTGCTCCTTCTAGCTCCTTGGGCTGTAATACAGCCGCTGGAATCCTTGCAAAGGGACTTAGCCTTGGCCCTGGACGCCCGGAGTTTTTCTCAAAGCCTCCAGGTTAACCCTTGATGTACCCTTCCGTCCGCCATGGCTCCCTCCTGAGCGCTCCGCTCCTGGTGGGATGGCGTTTGTGGGAAAGGGCGGCTACTTCTGGCAATCTGAAGACAACCCCAATTTGAAACCTTCAGTTTGGTCCGGTGTTCTCCGCACTTTCCCTCTCACTCCCCCTCTCCCCTCCGTGAGGGCCTAGGCTGATGAGGGAGGGAAAACACGCACACACTTAGACGGTCTTCGTTCGGGACTCGCTCGGTTTATCTAAGAGGACGCTCGAGAGTGCGAGAGGCGGAGAGAGCCCGGAGAGGGGCCAGCCAGCGGCGCGGGCGGCCTCCTCTGAGAAGCCGTCCCACCTGCTGCGGGGGAACCCGCGGGGAGGCGCCGCCCCGCCCCGCTCGCTGCGCTGCCAGGCGACGGGGGAGTTCCCGCGTGTGGCCCCGCGCCCAGGCTGCGCGGGGGGCTGTTCGAGTGGAGGCGGGGGAGCAGCCGGGGCACCAAAATAGGAGCCGCTTGTGGGCTGGAGCTGCACTAGCAGGCAGCCTCCGCTGCGCTGCTTCCAAAGATGGTCAGAGGGTCCGGAGGCGCCCCCGCCCCCGCTCGCCGCTAGCCCGGGGCCACCACCGCGTCCCGGAGCTGCCAGCGGAGGTAAGTGCGGTGCGGTGCGGTGCGGTGCGGACCCACCGTCCGAGCCCGACAGGCGGGAGCGAGTGGGGCCGGGAGCCGGGGAGCGAGGCCGCGCGGTTTTTTAAGCCGCCCGCGGCGGCGGGGCGCAGACAATGGCCGCGCGAGTCCGGGCCGGGCCGAGCGCGGTGCGTGGGGCTGCCCGAGGCGCCTTCCCACACCTGTGCGCAGTGCGGGACATCGGGATGCGGGCACCAGTCCGCTGGCGGCGCTTGGCGCCTCGGAGTTGAGTCCCCGCGCCAGGCCCCGGGGCGGGGCGGTCTCCAGGCGGGAACGTGGGCCCCGGGGCCCAGGCGCCAGGCGCGCGGAAACCCCTGCGGCGGGCGCCGGGAAGGGGCGCAGGCTGGAGGCTCTGCCCCCGGGCCGTGCCGCTTTCCTTCTGTCTTTCCCTAAGCAAAAAAACTCAGGATTTCCCTTTTCTTAGATTTCGTTTCCTCTCACATCCCTTCTGTGGCATCTCGATGTGATTTGAAAGGGAGACGGCGCTAGGGAAAAAGGTTGAATTGGGACCGGGCCGAGCCGAGTCGGCCAAGGTCCGGAGGCGAATGAAGTGACGGTCGGACACCTAGTGTGTGTGATCTCCCTAGGGACCGCCAGCCTCAAACAGATTGCAAGCGTGAATGGGGTAGTAAATCAGTATTTCTTCCCAAATGAACTAAAGAATCCGGGGACCTCATTTCCGGCTCCAAGCTACCCTGAATTTAAATGGACCACCATATAAATTATGAAACAGTCCATCCACCTTTTGCATATGTTACTTAGAGATGCTGAACTTAGTCTAGATTTGGAGTAGGATATCCGATACTAATTCAATTCTAGTGATTGTAATAGCATTGATTATTTGTGCAAAATGAAAACATGTTTATTATTTCATGTTTTTTTGCAGCCATGGCTCTAAAAGGACAAGAAGATTATATTTATCTTTTCAAGGATTCAACTCATCCAGTGGATTTTCTGGATGCATTCAGAACATTTTACTTGGATGGATTATTTACTGATATTACGCTTCAGTGCCCTTCAGGCATAATCTTTCATTGTCACCGAGCTGTTTTAGCTGCTTGCAGCAATTATTTTAAGGCAATGTTCACAGCTGACATGAAAGAAAAATTTAAAAATAAAATAAAACTCTCTGGCATCCACCATGATATTCTGGAAGGCCTTGTAAATTATGCATACACTTCCCAAATTGAAATAACTAAAAGAAATGTTCAAAGCCTGCTTGAGGCAGCAGATCTGCTACAGTTCCTTTCAGTAAAGAAGGCTTGTGAGCAGTTTTTGGTAAGGCACCTGGATATTGATAACTGTATTGGAATGCACTCCTTTGCAGAATTTCATGTGTGTCCAGAACTAGAGAAAGAATCTCGAAGAATTCTGTGTTCCAGGTTTAAGGAAGTATGGCAACAAGAAGAATTTCTGGAAATCAGCCTTGAAAAGTTTCTATTTATCTTGTCCAGAAAGAATCTCAGTGTTTGGAAAGAAGAAGCTATCATAGAGCCAGTTATTAAGTGGACTGCTCATGACGTAGAAAACCGAATTGAATGCCTATATAATCTACTAAGCTATATCAACATAGATATAGATCCAGTGTATTTAAAGACAGCATTAGGCCTTCAGAGAAGCTGCCTACTAACAGAAAATAAGATACGTTCTCTTATATACAATGCCTTGAATCCCATGCATAAAGAGATTTCTCAGAGGTCTACAGCCACAATGTATATTATTGGAGGCTATTACTGGCATCCTTTATCAGAGGTGCATATATGGGATCCTTTGACAAATGTTTGGATTCAAGGGGCAGAAATACCAGATTATACCAGGGAGAGCTACGGTGTTACAAGTTTGGGACCCAACATTTATGTAACTGGAGGCTACAGGACAGATAACATAGAAGCTCTTGATACAGTGTGGATCTATAACAGTGAAGGTGATGAATGGACAGAAGGTTTGCCAATGCTCAATGCTAGGTATTACCACTGTGCAGTCACTTTGGGTGGCTGTGTCTATGCTCTAGGTGGTTACAGAAAAGGGGCACCAGCAGAAGAGGCGGAGTTCTATGACCCACTAAAAGAGAAATGGATTCCTATTGCAAACATGATTAAAGGTAAATGTGAATATTGTTTATCCTATATTTTTTTAGGTACTTGGGATTAGGCCAGAAGTCATTTCTCTTTCAAGTAATTTTAAAAAGATTATCACTTTGGGTGGGGCAACGTGGCATATCCTGTAATCCCCACAGCTTTGGAGGCATCATGAGTTCAGAGCCAACAGCGAGGCACTAAGCAACTTAGTGAGACCCTGTCTCTAAATAAAATACAAAATAGGGCTGGGGATGTGGCTCAGTGGTCGAATGTCCCTGAGTTCAATCCCCGGTACTAAAAAAAAAAAAAAAAAAAAATTATCACTTTGGGATGTTCTCCAAGAACTACAGTGGATTATACAGATAATGTTGCACAGAATGTTCCAGATGAAAACATAGCCCCCAACTTGTCTGGAATTCATGCTACTCAGGCTAGAAAAGAAATATCAGGGAATAGAAATATAAGGAAACGTATAGCCATTTTACTAACTCTACATCTTTTCTCTAGATCTTTCTTCAAGTCTTAAGAATTTATATCTAAGTTGAAGGCTAAATGAAGAGACAGACCTGAGTAGTTTTATTGATTTGTCTTTTAAAAATTTTTTTTTGTAGTTCTGTATGGACAGCATACCTTTATTTTATTTATTTTTATGCAATGTTAAGGATCAAACCCAGTGCCTCACACATGCTAGTTAAGCACTCTATCACTGAGCTACAGCCCCAGTCTTATTGAATTGTCTTTTTTTAGTTGACCTTGAAATCAAACACTTTTCAGTTCTGTGTTTTAATGTTCAACTTTTTTATTCTCTCAAAAAATACTGATAATTTCTTAAAAGGCCCTTCCTTAAAACCTCAGAAGGTTTGTGCCCTATAGGATGTAACTAGTATATTCTCCTAGTTTGATGCAGGCTTGTCTCAGAATAAAAGAAAGTAGCAGAGGGCTGGGGGTATAGCTTAGTGGCAGAGCACTTTCCTAGTGTGGGTGAGGACCTGGGTTCAATTCCCAGTACTCAAAAAAAAAAAAAAAGGGGGGGGGGAGAGTGAAATTCAGCACACTCCTCTTCATGTGGCCCACAGAGCCAAGTACACTACTGGGTCTCAGTATCTGTCAGATAAATTGTATTTTCGGGTGTGTTTGGGAGTGTATTAGCTCTACTTCTCTCCCACTGGGGGAGAAAAGTTAAATTGAAATCTTATTTCATTACATTTATTCTTTATTCATTGGTTCTCGGGAGTTATCCAAAAACATCTGGTAGGTTGTTACTAAGTTTGTGACATTTTGTTCCAAATGTTTCTTCCCAGGCCTTTCTGTTTCTTTTTTGACACTAGTGAGGGTATGGGAATATGACCTGGTCTGGAAATCTGACCTTGTATGATCCTTGGATGACAAGCAGGAAGCCTGAGAGCAGAATGATCTTGTGATCAGGCACACTGCTTCTGAAGCTAAATTGCCTGGGTCTAAACCTGGACTTTCCACTCACTGGTGAGGCTCAGGCAAATTGTTCGGTTTCTCTCTGCCCTGGTTTTGCCATCTGTATGATATCATCTTAGGATATCATCTTAGCTTGGGGGTCTTTGAGAGGATTAAATGAATTGATATTTGAGAAGCGCCTAGAACAGTGTCTGGTGCAAATTGACCCTCAGTAAATGTTATGCCTGCTTATCATGAATGTCATTATGGAAGAATATATTTTGACAGGGCAAAAATAACTTTTGCATGAAATCAGGACCAGGTATGCCCACAGGTGCAGCAATAGCTCATAGGATGGGAGAAGCTAGCTTAAATGTGTTGCAATCAGCTGCTGATTTTTGGCTTTGCCTAAGCTTGAGCATCACTTAATGATATGAGTGTGGTTCTGAATGTCCTGCCTCCTCTCTTACAAAAGAAACAAGAAACTTTCCACATATTTTAGTGGCAATTGTAAACCCAAAGCTGAAATCCAAATATTTCAGCTTCTATTTTTTAATGATGAAATAACAATTTTAAGAATTGTATACTTGGACTGTATTGAGTTAGTGGTGGAAGTTTATATTATATTACCTTACTGAAATTTTTAAAAATTGTATTTGAAACAGTGTTTGCTGAGAGGACAATGCTGCAGTAAATTATTTACTATTAAAAAAAGCCATATGTGTTTTTTTTTTCTTGGCCTTGAGTGGAATGGGAGACCCAGTGCCCCCAAATCATCCCCACCTGCCAGATGGGTCTGAAATTTTAGAGATTTATTTTTTCAACTTGAAGTTTTTATTCTTGTTTATATTCATTCAACCCAGAGCAGGGTAACACTCACCCACTTATATGCAGTTTTGACAGATTCTGTTCTGATGAGTAGATTCATACTAAAATTTTAGTTTTCCATATTTCTATGGGAAGGATAACATTATTTTTCCCAGATTATTTTATAGTCATGGAGTAAACTAGCAGCTTCCCCTGAATGAGAGCTTAATTTGGGTCAGGATAAATTTCAAATTCATTTCCTTTTTTGGTTTAGGGATGTGAAATACAGAGAAGAAATAAACATTTGGTTATGTAGGAACTCCTAAGTCTTTCTTTTTCATCATAACTACCCTGTTTATAAGCCTACTTTCATTTTGAAGTAGAAATGAACAAGGAGATTAAACTGTACTTGGTACATAACAGTGCTAGTTAAAAGTTGGTTAGAAGATTAAACTGACATTTGCAACTGCAATGGGCCTCATCATCTTTATTCCTCTTTTCTTCCCCCAACTGAACCAGTTACCTCCTCCTCCTAACCTGTGTGTGTGTGGTGAGCAGGGAGTACTGTGAATTGAACTCCAGGAGAACCACTCGGGATTGAACTACTGAGTCCATTTTATTTTTTATTTTGAGACAGGGTCTCACTAAGTTGTTGAGGCTGGCCTCAAACTTGTAATTTTCCCGCCTCAGCCTGCCAAGTTGCTGGGAGTACAGTAATATGGCAGTACACCTCACTTCTCCATACTTTTCTGTGATATTAAGGACTCCTAGTTTTCCCGGTTCAGGATCTCATAATCAGCGTGCTTTGTCTTGGACTCAAGGCCAGTGTGTCTGACCTGTCTCTTGCCTCCAACTCTAAGCCCCCTTTTAAATCAGGGCCTCAGTACTTCTCACCTGGATCAGCACCTACATCTTTCTGACTTCTGTCTTCCTTTTTAGTCCCTCCTGTCCTCTGTTTAAAAAGCTTACATCAGGGTGCTTTGCCTGTGGCTTCAACTCACAATGCCAGCCATAATTCCCATGTGACAACCCTTGAAGTATCACCTGTCATAGTCAAACTGGGCTATTTGACATGCCTAGTAAGCCTTTATGCTTGGAATGGCTTCTTCTCACCTCTGCTTGCCAAAGCCCTACTTACCAAAGCCAAGGTCAAATGCCACTACCTCCTGCTATGGTTTTCTTAGTCAAAAGCAATGTCTCCTTGCTCTCACATTCACATTAGTTTGTCTCTTTTTTATGGCATCTTTACCATTTCATAACTATGTTCTAATTATTTATCTCATCCTCTCTTAAAGAGCATAGGAGCCTTCCTATTTCATTTTTTTTATCCCTCATAGCAACTAGCACATTGCCCTGCATCTGTCATTAGTAATAGCAAAATAAATAAATAAATAAATTTACTCGGTATTTATTGCAAAAGGGGATGAACAATTGATCTAAAGGTTTGATTTTAATTGACACACAGGTGTGGGAAATGCTACTGCCTGTGTCTTACATGAAGTCATCTATGTCATTGGAGGCCACTGTGGCTACAGAGGAAGCTGTACCTATGACAAGGTTCAGAGCTACAATTCAGATATCAATGAATGGAGCCTCATCACCTCCAGTCCACACCCAGGTAACAAAGTACTGTCTTCAAATAGTGCATGTCCTGATGCAGTTTATCAGCAAAAGGGATGGCTAAGAGTGGGCTAGAAATAGAAAGTGCCAATTTTATCATACACTACACATGGGTATAATTTTAAAGCACAAAGAATTCATAATCCATCTAACAGTAGTCATGATTATATCCTGATTAAATCACATCTAAAAATATTTTCCTTGATGTATTTATATAACACATTTTAAGGCTGTGTGGTTGAAAGTGGTAGGTTTCTTTTTAATTTACTTACATTCTTTCTTGTGTTTCTTTTCTTTGTTACWTGCTTTTGTTTATTTATTACATGCAGTATATAAAGCATACTTTTTATAGACAATTAAAAAGCATTAGTTTGTCCATCAGATAGTCAAAAAGATTAAAGTTCAGCAAGAGATTGTTGTTATCCTCTTTTTAAAGCATGTCCTTTCTGGGTTTCAGTTACTGTTCAGCACTCATTCCTGTGATATGCAGCGTGTCTGCCATAAGGAATGGCCTGCCTTCTGTGATGGCTTTTTTTTTAAAATATGTGTATATATTTTTAATTGTAGTTGGACACAATATCTTTATTTTATTTATTTATTTTTATGTGGTGCTGAGGATCGAACCCAATGCCTCGCACGTGGTAGGTGAGCACTCTACTGCTGAGCCACACCCACAGCCCCTCTATGATGCTTTTAATCTTTGACCGTTTTGTAAAAGAGCTCAGGAGGAGCATGATTTTAGCTGGGCTGGGAGCACAGCTCATTGGCAGAACACATGCTGAGCATTGTGAGGCCCTGGGTTCAATGCCCAGCCCCAGAAATAACAAATTTTAGCCTATTCTAGTAGTATTATGTGTTTAAATTTTTTTCATTAGGCAAAATTCATATCACATTACCATATTACTTTGAATCATTTTCCATAGAGCATCAGGCTTTCATGTGGATTGCTAGAGAGAACAATTAAAATCTACAAGCTTGAATCATCTGAGAATAAGAGTAAATAGCTAATCCTCTTGAGTACATACTATAGATCAGATACTGGCTAAGCATCTTATTTGTAATATTATCTTAAATTCTCATTGTGATTCTATGAGTAGGTATCATTTATCACTATTTTACATATTTGGAAATGGCATTTTAGAATGAATAAGTAGCTTGGCCAGAGTCAAATTTGAAATTGGTGGGCCTGAATACACTTGATGATCTAATTCCATAACCTGTTTCATAATCGATAAGAGAGCAGATTCTCGATTTCTACCTGTACAACTACTTCCACTGCACACATTAAATGTCTCATCTCATGGTTCAGGTGGAGCACACCTAAATCTGGTACTGCAGCTCCATATGCTGCAGGTTGTACTACGAAGAAACTGCAGCTGTAGGATGCCCTGGCTCTGAAGACATCATGGAATATGTAGACTTCTATCTTCTAGCAGTTCAGATTCATCATCCTAGGCTCACCACCATTTTTCTTTCCTTCTTTCTTCTCTCTCTCTCCTTCCTCCCTCCCTCTCTTTCTTTCTTTCTGTAGTACTGGTAATTTAACCCAGGAGTCCTTTACCACTGAGCTACATTCTCTCCCAGCCCCTTCTTAAAAATTTATTTATTATTTTGAGACAAGTTGCCAAGGCTGGCCTCCAACTTTCTAACCTCCTGCTTCAGACTCCTAAGATACTGAGATTATAGGCATATGCCACCACATCCAGTTCCCCACCACTTTGTTTTCCTGGTATGACCAATAAAATTATGAAAATTAAAAGTAATAGATTACATTGAATTATAGCTAATACTTCCATACTCAGTAAAATGTGCCAGGCACTTAACTGTTCCAATAATTTTATATGTATTAATCTGTTTGTATTTATCAGCCTCACGTTACTATAATGAAATACCTAATCAACTTGTAAGAAAAAAGGTTTACTTAGCCCATAGTGTAGAGGTTCAAATCCTAGATTGGGTAGCCCATTGATTTGTCCTCTGATGAGAGCAATGGAATGACAATGGCAGGACTAGCCAGGGTTCCAAAATCCCTTACAGGGGCATGACTCCATTGAGCTGACGACCTTCATAAAACCCAACTTTTTAAAGGTCCACAGTACCTTGCACTGTGTCCACCCTGCAGACCAAGTCTGTATATATAGTTCTTTGGGGGAATACTACCCATATTCAAACCATTGTACTATTTAAACCTCACAATAATCTTGTGAGCTAGATAGGCATTGTTATTTCACAGGCCACTGAGGCACAGAGACATTGCCCCAGTTAGCCAAGTAATGCTTGTTAGAGGTGAAGTTCAGTCCAGCAGTTTAGCTTGTAACCCATGTACTGTACTTAAGTATTATCTCATTTGAACCTCATAACAAGTTGCATATAGTCTGTTAGCCACTTGAAAAAGAGTCAAAGGCTGTGTGACTTAAACCTAGTATTAGAAGCCATGGAAAAATTTCAATCCAAAATTATTAAATTACATTTTGTAAATCACTAGGAACATAGAATTCCTCCTGTAACATTTTAGTGCACATTGAACCCTTTCCTGATAAAATGTAAAAAACCAGATATCAAAAATTGGCACTTTGCATGATACGTTCTGTTTGGCATTCACGGTGCTTAAAAATATTTTTGAACTGGCTTATTACCAGAATTTAAAATTTAAATTTATATAAAAATCATGATTTCTGGCCTTTAGAAAAATTGGAAGATCTGACAACTGGACAGTGCTCTTTCCTGGCAGTAATCGCTGGAGCTGGGCAATAGCTGTTCTTGTTAGTTGAGGCTTGTGTTCTCCATTTCATCCCAGTCCCTCCACTTCTGGTCACATCTCAGACCCAGGAGGCCTATGCTGTTGCTTTTTTCTTAGCCCACACATGCTTCATCAGTTAGTCCTGTAAGCTCTTGAAGGCATTTGCATCTGCATCCATTGAATTATGGCAAGGTATGCCTCTTACACGCACTCCAGGAACACCTCCAAGGAAGGTAAAGTGTCCGTTTTGAGCTTGCCATATGTAGAGACATTGCCTAGATGGGGAGGAAATGACTACTACTGTTATTTTTAAAAGGTAATATAAATGTTATCTTTTATCTTAATCCCTTTAATGAGTTAATTTTGTATAATTGAAAAACTTGGGACCATAACTTCATTAAATTCAGGATAACATTGAGACCCTCCATTGGGAAAGGTAGAATTCTAATAGTTATGTAAAACTCAGAGATGATTAAGTACTAATCTCTACTGCCAAAGGAACTCAGAATCTAGTAGCAAGTAAACATTTAACAGTAATACAGGATAATCTTTAGCAAGTTCTATACAAAGAAGTGCTATTGAAATTGAGAACTTGAGTCTAATTAAGGGAAATCTGGCAATCTGCAACTGCTCCCCAGGGGTAGGTATTTCTTTTTTTTTTTTTTTTTAATATTTAGTTTTAGGTGGACACAATATCTTTATTTTTATGTGGTGCTGAGGATCGAACCCAGTGCCTTACACATGCTAGGTGAGTGCTCCACCACTAAGCCACAACCCCCCCCAACCCCCTCCCATAGGTATTTTTAAGTTATGCCTTACAAAATGGCCACTATTAAGGATGGTAGTTTCTGAGGAACTTCCCCCACTCTTACTGTCCTGCAGGATGTCAGTTGAGTGAAAGAAGGCCAAAGGGAAAGTTTCAGGTGTATTCCATTACTTGGGAGTAGACAAGAACAAATGGAATGGTGCTGGGAGAACAGAAGACAGGATGGGAGAGTTCAGTTCAGGAGCGTATCTAGAGGGCTTTGAGAGGCAGTTTGGAGAATTCTAAAAATGTAGAACTATCAAAGTATTCAGAGCAAAAGAATGATGTGGTTCTTGGTTATTTGTTTTTTGTGATTCTGGGGATCAAATGCAAAGACTTGTACCTTCTAAACTTGTGCTCTATACTGACATCCTCAGCTCTCATTTTAGGAAGAGAACTCCTTTTAAGATATATTGTGGGGCTGGGGCTATGGCTCAGCAGTAGCACACTTGTCTGGCATGCGTGAGGCACTGGGTTCGATTGTCAGCACCACAGATAAATAAATAAATAAATAGATAGATGTGAATCAACAACTTATTAAAAAAAAGATACATTGGGAGAAAGATAGTGGACAGGGAAATATGATAACATTAATATGTAATAAACCAGGTGAGAAATACTGAAAGTTTGAAGAAATGGTAGGCAGAAAAGAGGGGCAAATATGAGGATTGTTAGAGATTCAACAGCTGATTGCTTCCTTGGATGACTGGATCTGGAGAGAAAAAGAGTTGACAGTGATCTCAGGGTCTGTGGCCAGTTGCCTGGGAGGATCCAGAGTATCAATGGAGGAGCCAATAGAGAGGGAGAAGAGGGGAGATGGTGAGCTCTATTGGCAGTGTAGGGTTGTAGAGCTAGTTGGATAACTCAGAAGGACTGTCCAGCAATGGGGGTGGGGAGGGGAGATGTGTATTTGCACATCTTCCTCGTAAAAGGAAGGATATGGCTGGATGTTGAGATCTGGGAATTGTTTGCTTGGATGATTCCAGTGGATGTGAGCATGAATGAGGTGCCTCACAGGGCAGGACCAATAAGATAGCTATGGGCAGAATTTTGGGAAGTAGCTTTGAATTAGGGGATGATCTGAGAAAGAAGGCATGAAAAACAGGAAGAAAGAAGCAATACATAACAAAGAAGAAGCACCTGTGGGCAGAGAGTTCTCTCCTGGCTTTGCCATTTATTGACCCTCCTAACCTTGAACAAGTAGCTCAGGATTTTGGCCTTACTTTCCAGTAAAATTAGGAAGTTAGGCTCCATCAGCTTTACAGATCCTTTCAGTGAGAACAGTCTTAGGAAAAAAATTTAAACCAATTCAATTGGATGTTGTGGTTGTCTCTGATTCCCTGTGTCCTTTTGTTCATATCACTCAATTAACACTGGATACATACTGCCATGTATTTATGGGTAATATTTGTGCCCAAACACTTGGAACCATTACAGATGGTGTCATTTCCATGCTTGATTTGAAATTGTTCACTCATTTATTCACTCATCCATTTATCTTAATAGATAGTTGCTGAATATTTCCTATATTCTGTGTCAGGAGCACTCCTTTGGCCCCAGGAGCTCAGACAAATTGACCAAAAAAAAGGCAGTTATAGCTTAGGAAGAAAAAGTTCCATTGACAATAACAATACTGTGTTGTATTTAGGTAACAGAGAAAAAACTCAGAGGAATCATTTTATTTTAAACATTTTTTACTGTTATGGGAAGATTAAGATACATCTATTAATAAGATTATCAGTTGAGGATTTTTGTGGTAAGCTTGAGTAACTTAAGAAAAGCCTAGTAAACTCACCGTGGAATCACTTATTCCAACTGACCCACCAATTTTCTTTTTCTTTTCTTTTTTTTTTTTTTTTTTTTTTTTTTTTTTTGTACTGGGTATTTAAGCCAGGGGTGCTTTACCACCAAGATACATCCCCAGTCCTTTATATTTTTTACATT